GAAAGTTTTGTTTAAGCTGTCAGTGCTGTCGTCCACATGTATATTGAAGTCTCCAGTTATAACTATGTTTTCCCTTTCCAAAACTAGGTTTGAAATGAAGTCAGAGAATTCTGTTAGGAACTCGCTGTAAGGACCAGGAGGTCGGTATAAAACTATAAATAGCACCGCTTTTTGTTTTCTCCACCCAGGACAGGTGATTGAAAGTGTTAAGTTTTCAAACGAGTGAAAAGCATTGTTGGTTTTGGGACTAAGAACTAAGTTGGTGTGTGATATAATCGCAACACCACCGCCGCGACCTGTAGTTCTCGCTTTCTGGTAGTCAACATGCGTCGGAGGAGTGCACTCATTCAATCCAACGTAGTCGTCTTGTTGGAGCCAAGTCTCCGAGAGCGCAAACAAATCCAAGCCCTTGTCTATAATAAGTTCGTTTATGAGAAGATTGATCTGACGTTCATTAAACCACATTTAACAACCCTACTGTTAGAACTATTTCTGTCTGTCTGAACTTTTATTAAATTACTGTGTCTGACACCCAGGTCAGATTTCCTCGCATATAGTGCTTTAGACTTCAAGCGAGGAACACACACAGTTTCAATCTGACTAGGTTCTGAGGCTAGTAACTGAGCACACACAGGCACACACACACATGCACACACAGTTTCAATCTGACTAGCTTCTGAGGCTAGTAACTGAGCACACACAGGCACACACACACATGCACACACAGTTTCAATCTGACTAGCTTCTGAGGCTAGTAACTGAACAGATGGGGGCTCAGAGGTTGTGGCAGAGCAGCTCTGCACCCGGGCCTCAGTTCTGCACCGTCATTTGAGCCTTAGCCAAAAGGGATGTACCCGCCAACGTTGGGTGGATATCATCCGAGCGGATGAGACCGGGCTTTCCCCAAAAGGCACTCCAATTGTCAACATGAACAACACCACTTCGAGGGCACCAGCCAGACAGCCAGCGGTTGAAAGCCGAGTGTCTGCTGAATGCTTCTGCACTGCTAGTGCTAGGTAGGGGCCCAGAGAAGATGACAGTGTCGGCCATTGTGCTAGCCAGCTTGCACACCCCGGCGACTTGCAGCTTCAACACCTCGGACTAGTTCCGCCGAACGTCATTACCACCCGCGTGAATAACAATTCGACGGAAACGCTGCTTGTTACATGCAGGATAAATTATGTACAATAAAAAAGTGGCAGTTTAAAAGTGGCAATTTACAAGTGGCAATCAGAAATAGTGTCAATATTAGTGAAGGTTTTTCAGTCTTACACAGTGACTTAAAGTGACTTGTTTTACAGTCTGACAGCGGTGGGGATAAAGGCCCTGCGGTAGCGCTCCTTCTTGCACTGAGGGTGTCTCAGTCTTCCACTGAAGGAGCTCCTCAGCTCCTCTACAGTCCTGTGCAGTGGGTGGGAGGTATTGTTCATGATGGAGGTGGCTTTGACTAGCACCCTCCTGTCCCTCACCTCCTCCACAGAGTCCAGGGAGCAGCCCAGAGTGGAGCTGGCCCTCCTGACCAGCTTGTTCAGTCTACTCCTGTCACGCTCTGTGCTGCCCGGGGCCCAGCACACGGCAGCGTAGTATATGGCAGAAGCTACCACAGAGTCATAAAAAGTCCTGAGCAGAGGCCTGCTCACTCCGAAGGACCTCAGCCTCCTCAGAAGGAAGAGGCGACTTTGGCCCTTCTTGTGCAGGGCGTTTTTATTATGGGACCAGTCCAGTTTATTGTTAATGTGAACATCCAGGTACTTGAAGCTCAATGTCCTCCCCCTGGATGTTCAGAGGCGTGTGGGAAAGTGGTTTTCTCCTGAAGTCGATTACCATCTCCTTGGTCTTACTGGTGTTCAAGCACAAGTGGTTGCGCTCACACCAGTCGACAAAGTCGGTGATAACCGACCGATATTCCAGTTCGTTCCCCTCAGACACACAGCCCACGATGGCGGAGTTGTCGGAGAACTTCTGCAGGTGACAGCTGTGTGTGTCATGTGTGAAGTCTGAGGTGTAGATGGTGAAGAGAAACGGTGAGAGGACAGTGCCCTGAGGGGCCCCAGTGCTGCAGACTACCACCTCAGACTCACAGCTGCGCAGCCGCACGTACTGTGGTCGGTCTGAGAGGTAGTTGATGGTCCATGCAGTGAGAATACTGTCCACTCCCGCGTCCTCCAACTTCCCCCGCCGCAGTGCCGGTCTGATAAAAACCACATTGCTGTGTATGTAGGATTGGTGTGCCAGTATTATGAACACACTCCACACTTTTAACCCTTGCTATAGCCTTGAATCAAAATGAACCGTCACGGATGATTAAAAGCAGATAAGAAATTCCCTAAATTAGGGTCTAAAAGGTTCGAAATGACACAGGGCTGGTCAAGTTAGGAAAAAACATAAATATTTTGCTAAAAAAGATGTAAGGTAATCAATTGGCCAAGTTTAAATTAATTGGCCAAGTTTATACCGTGCATTTGTTTATAAAATGTTTGTGTATGTTTTTTGTTTATTGAGTTTTTGTTTGTTTGTATTTTTGCATTATATGATTTATATTATTTAACTGCATTCAATTACCTTATTTACTCAACTGTGCCATTGCCTGAAATAAATGAATAAATGAAAAAAAATGAAATGAATGTATTTTTCTATCAAATAGAAAACAACCAAAGCAATCTGTATTGCTCAAAACGCCAAACTAATGCAAATTGCAAAAAACATTTCTAGTGTCATATTCGGCTGGCCACCACCAATTACTCACACACCAGCCTCATACGAGGCATTGCAGGTGAAGTGTCTTACCTTTGGACATTTGGGACCTAACAGCCTCAGGCGCAACACTGTGGCACCTGGTGTTCCCAGAGGTCTCCCATCACAGTTATAACAAGGCCCTGTCCCAGGCCATGGCACCACAGTAGACTGTGACATGTCGAGGTGAATAGTACCATGGTATGGTTCCATTTTCAACAAGAGTTTGTTATGGAGCCAACCAATGCACATTTATCAATCTAAACAAATATCAGCGTAACCAACGTGTTGCTAGTCTGTAATGTGCGACCGCTGAAAGGGTCTCAACTCCAAAACCCCAAGATGTTTACGAGTGCTGCTTGTTATGATCTTTTCTGCAGTTTTTCAGAGCTGCTTAAGATGACTCTGTAGTTAGTGTCACATTTCATTGATCATCACTGTTGCTATAACTGTAATGCTTTTATAATTGTTGCAAATCTCTGCCAATAATGAGGTGTGATAAATCTTTGCACATTGTCTGCATCAAATTAACAATGTCTAAAATCTTAATAAATAAAAAAAATCTTATACATCAGTATTTCTTAATTCCCCAAACATTAGTGTCTCCTTTAGAAGAGCGTTTGTAATATTTCCCCATAAAGCCTAAATGTTATTCAAACTGCTATTAGACGATTAAACGAGTTTCATCCGACCTAAATAAACCCCTTTGCACATTTTAGATTTCGATCTAATTGAAAACACACCAGAAAGTACCATGTTAATTTCTCAAGAGTTTTATTTTGGCGGGCAGGCTGTTTTCCCTTTCTTCTCCACTTAATTGAGAGCTTTATTGAAACAACATGATTTTCTTAATGACCCAAATGAGATTTTCAGGATTCATGCAGGCACACTTTTAAAATTCATTTCCAAATGTAAAATGCCTAATTGGCTTTTGCACAAACTGGATTGAATGTGTGTATTATGATGTCTGACTGATTGCCTGCCAGCTTCTCTGCAAGATGCTAATGACTGTTTCAACCATGAACGGGAAAAAGTCAGCTTTCATCAAATCAATCTAACAGTAGCAACATTAAAGTAAATAATACACCAGCGTTTACCTTTGAATTACCTCTCACGAGGTGTTTGTGGTCCTACAGTTCAATCAAATTATAAGTAACGTCTCTGTTAAGATAATTGCAGAACTTTGTTGTTCTGAGTCTGTGAAATTGTAAAGATATACAAAAAACCCTGCCTGATTTTTTTTATTCCAAGGGAATTGTTTTTTTAATGTTTTTAACATTTTATGTTCTTATATAACATTACAGTCACAATAATAATGTTGTGATAATTAATAATGATTTTAATCATTGAGCATAAACGCATCCATCCATACAACACATCAATAAATGCATAATTATTAAAGTCAGTAGCAATAGTAATAAAGTACATATATTTATAGATCTGTTGTACAGTTTTACAGCCATAAAAAAGTCTTTAAAGATACATTCCAATTACCAGTTTCTATCTTATACACATAGGCCTTCATCTTGCGTCTTGAACTGTCTGTTTAATCTAAGTTAAAATATAAACAGTATTTGTTCCGAGAACCTCCTTCTGTGATCCACAGGGACAACACTCAACAAGCACAACTGGAGCCCGAGTGGTGCATCATGTGTCAAATGGGATCAAAAACCTAATTAACACTTAAATCATTATCGCTAAAAGCCAATTTCACAAACCAGTTTCCTTTTTGTTGAAGATGAGACTGCGAACCACTCTCCCTTTGTGTGTGGAACTAGAAACAACATCATCGGTCAGTTTTATCCACAAAGTAATTCAAAAAACACACCAGGTAAACTGCTTCCCATAATGCATCAGTTTCCGTTATTATAATAAATCTCCATAAACTTTTCTCCAGACTGCTAAGGGGAAAAGTTCTGAATAAAGTTTTCCTTTTCATCGCGGCTGGTGATGGAGACATAGGGCTGTGGAGTCGCCTGCTCAGCCCTGCAGTGATTACCACTTTCTGCACTGTGCACAGAAGCGTTATGAGCCAATGATTAAAATCTAAAAGTACTTTTGCACTTCTCCTCCTTTGAGAGTCTGAAATTCTGTCTGCTTCCTCGTCGCAGTTACACCTCCCTGATGATGCTTTCCAGAACCTCAGGATTTTTAATACTTCTCGTAGACTTTATATAATGTCTTCCTTGAAATCCCTCAGAGACTTTCTTTATGATTCACACATTGGAATGCACCTTTTGTATCTTACTTTTTTCTTTCTTCCACAGCCCACAAGCCCAAAGTTTGGGAAGGCAGACTCCTATGAGAAACTGGAGAAGCTCGGAGAAGGTTCATATGCCACAGTTTACAAAGGGAAAAGCAAGTAAGCAAATCTCCTCCGTGGCATCATTGTATAGCCCAAACATTTGAATAAAAATCGTTATTGCTATAATTTATTTTTATTTTTACTTATTTTTTGTTTTATTTTTAATTTTTTAATTTTTATTTATTTTTTAATTATTATTTTCTTGTATTTTTGTTTTGTTTGCATCTGTTTTGCTGTATCTGTCACTTTGTGAAATCTCGAGGACCCCCTCAAAAATGATATGGTTCATCTCAAGGGGCTTATCCACTAAATAAATAAATAAAATAGCTTTATAATGATAATAACAACAATGTTCATGTCAGAAAATGCATGCACGATATTGACTATAGAGAGAAGTAGGCAATACCTTTTTACTGTTACTCTGTTTACTTCAAACCTGCACTCACAAGTACAACAACATAACATCATAGATACAAGTTCATGTTTTGAATGGATCAAGCCTCTCCTGGACTTGTCCTATTCTGGCCCTGGTTCTGAGCTGTGCTTGGGTTTCCACCAGAGAAGAGCTGGAGCAGTTACCGTAGCAACAAACTGTAAACAATTTGCAATTGGTAAAAGTGGGTAAAGGTAAAAGAAAAACACATTTATAAAACAAAACCTTTTTGGAGGAATTTCTCAGAATTCAAGTCATTTCAGAATTCTGGGACTCCTAGTGTCAAAGTGCCTCTAGACATTTATCAAGATAACATATAAAAGTAAACAAATCTACTGCTTTGACTATACTTTTGAATAAACAAAAAAAACAACAGTTGGCAAATTCAAAGGATGGATCACAAATATAAGAAATGAATACAGTCATTTCATAATGCCGGATGTGAAATAATTTATTGGCGACAAACATTTTGGAAGTTTGGTCTGAATCCGAAGAAAGTATTCTGCCATAATGTTCGTTTATATCCAGCAGCAGTTAAGTTTCACAGACAAGTAAAGTAACCATTTATTGATATCATTAACTCCAGAAAATGTATATGCAGACCTCATACTTCATCCATACACAGGGCAACTCAAAGTGCTTAATAAAACAATATGGAAAGGATTAGGGCTGGGATAAACGATTATTTTTTAAACAATTAATCTAGCGATTATTTTTTCGATACATCGATTAATCTAACGATTATTTTTTTTGCTTCGATTCGACTTCGATTCGATTCGATTCTCGATTATCTCCCCATTAATTGACTAATATTGATGTATACATGTTGATTTAAATATTTTAATGAAAAAAACATGAATTCCTTCACAAAAAAATATTTATTGCTTGCTCTTAAAATTCAAAAATAAGACATTCTTAGAGGTGGCATAAAACCTTAAAGCCTTGAAAACACAGCTTACTGAAAAAAGTGCATCTTATCATTCTTGAAACAAACATTTGATGCTTTGCATTCAATAAAAATATGAAAAAGTTCAGCCAAATACTTGTGTAGAGCAACTAAAAGAAAACAGTAACCAATGTAAACTTGAAGTCTTTAAGCTAAACAAAGAGTGCTTTTCCAGCAAAAACAGTGGGAGCCATCAGCCTGTCATGGCGTCCTTCCTGAACCAACAGAGTTTAACATTTAAGTTGAAGACACATAGGCCTATATTACTGAAGTCCATTAATTAAAGTGCATCTCTTAAATTCTTCATTCATATAAAAATAACAGTCAAAACTCTGCCACTAACCTTTTTCTTAAACTCAAAATTCAAAAATAAAATTCAAGTAAGAGTGTACAAGAGAAAAACAATGCATTGTGTAGCAAATAAAAAGGTCAACCAGTCATCCTTTCTTTTAGAGTTACTGAAATAATACAGTAGAAGTCATCTCAGAGGACTTAAAACAACATTGAAGTCACCAACACAGATCAGAGAATCAATCAACAGTTAAACACATTAAGGATATTGAACACATGTTGAAAAATGTCCATATACGGCGGGCATGACAGTGAATAATACATGTAGGGGCTGTTACGGGCGCCAATATTCCGTTTGATACAAAGAAAGACAGACTAGTTGTAAGCTGTAGAGTTGCCACAGGACGCGTCATCAGCCTACGTCAGCAGCCGCGGACTGCTATGAAAACATTAGCTTTGTGGTTTCACAGGCGCAGTTGACTGCTTAAACTAAACTTTGCACAAAACTTTGACTCTTAAAACCCACATGTCACAAAACGGAACCATCAACATCTCGCCTCAAATTGCATTAAAAGTGACATTCGTGTCTGAATTTGTTCGTATTTTAACTTTTAAAGAAATTCACGGTCCGCCATCTTGGTTTGCTTTGGCTGCCGTGAGACGCGCATGCGCAGGTTTGCATTACATCATAAACAGCTGAGGCTGTGCATCTCTTCAAGGCAGTGTATCTCAGCGTTACACCTGCTTGCACTTCTCTCGTCACGGCACTCGCATTGCTACCGCTCGCCGCCATCTTTGTTTTGTGTGTGACGCACCAACGCGCATATTATACGTCGGTGTATTTTTTGCGTCGACGTCACCGATTACGTCGACGCGTTGTCCCAGCCCTAGAAAGGATCATACAGCAAACAAAAGGCATTCACTCCTAATTGCACTGCACAGAAACCCAAGCATAACATTTCACTGTTTTCTGTGGCCATTTTATTACCACTAACATTAAAATATTGAGCATGAAGATCTAATTTTCCTTTTCTGCTCTGTGGTCTCATGATTTCAACAGTTATTGAACTCAGACAGAAGCGTTTCACACATTGTAAATATCTGAACGTGTAGTGATGTTATTGCTACAGCAGTGATTGGTGAGTCCCCGCTCCTGTAATCCCACGGCCTCGTCCTCCAGTCACACTCCACTGAAGTCCAATTACATTCGCACACTCTCAGCAGCAACAATGGGTTTAATTGGAATGTGTCTTTCATGGAGTTGATTGCATGGCATAAGATTTGCTTGGATTGTTGATGTTTTTCTCTGCGCTGGCTCAGGGTGAATGGGAAACTTGTCGCTCTGAAGGTGATCCGTCTGCAGGAAGAGGAAGGGACTCCGTTTACAGCCATAAGAGAAGGTAAAGAAGTCTAAACTATTACTTGTAGGTTGCCAATACCTGTTTTCATTGTAACTTTTATTGCAATATGCTCAAAATCGTAAAAAGTCCAATTCTCCAAGGTCTCCATAGCTGGAAACATCAACTCAAGGCGAGCAAACTGATTATTACTTTGTTAGTGGCAGAGCATCCCAGGTGCAGAGGACGTGTATTATTCACTGAGACGTGGCACTTTATGAAAAAAAAAAGTCTTAAATACCCTCTTTTGAAACAAATCTGTGAATCATTTTTTACCCAAGAAACACGTGTGAACACAGCTTCAGTTTAATATAACAATTAAAACAATATTCTATATTTGGGGAAACAGTAGCTCAGTTGGTAGAGCATTGGGCCGTGGGTTCAAGCCCACGACAAGACCTTCTTCACCGACTCCCACTGATGTCAGCTGTCGTTGTTTCCTTGGGCAAGACACTTAACTTTGCCTGAAGCCCCCGCTGAAAGATCAAGACTGTGCCTTAGCCATCCTCCTGTGGACCCACCACCTTCAGGAGGAGCAGTGAGGGGCTGGTGCTCTGTGAATTGGGTGCAGCTTTGACTGCACCCAATTCGAAAATAGATGGTAGGATTATGTATTTGGACTTTTCGTTAGTCACTTTCACTTCTCAGTAAGTCGTTTTGAGTCTTTGTTGCAACAAGGCTTTTTTTGAGTGGATTTGTGTTCTTGCATCTGCTCCGGTTTCCTCCAGGTCCTCCAGTTTCCTCTACTACTAAAAAATATGTACAATAAGTAAAAACCCCCAGCTCCTGTAGTCCTGACCAAACCAAGCATCGACATCTGGGCATCCACTGCTCCTGACAGAGGCCCTAGTGCCACTGGAAGGAACACATTTCTCTAAGAACATACAAAATTATAGATTTTCAGGAACCGTCTTTTTGAAATAATTATGCTTCCCCATGTCAAATATGCAATAGTTAGGTCAGGACGTTACATGTATTCAAAGCGAGTATGTAAACAACATCACAGCACTATAGTGGACAGATGGACCCTAATTGTGTGTATCCCTGGGCTGTTATCGCTTTAGTTAAATGAATGTGAATATGGAGAAGAAAGACTCTGCTCAAACAAGCCGGCAGCATTTGAATATAAATGAGCGAGTGACTTTGTGTTTGATCAGCGTATGATCCGGAGCCAGTGCAGAGAGGAGCAGCCCATGTCTCCTGCTGTACACAAGCACGGGCCAAACTCTCCCCCTGAGCGCGTCACACAGACACTTTGAAATTGGACTTAATCAGCTATTACTGTCTCGGCGTCCTCCTGTACAGTGCATTCACATGGAGTAACGAGGCCGATCCAAATGTTTAAGAGCCTCATACACTGCAAATAAAGAAACGCAATAAAATGGGCTCGCTTAAATTAATTTGAAAGTTGAAACATGGCTGAATTTTAATGGTAGAAAAAAGAAGTTTCAAAAGTAGAGGACTTGTTTTCATGAAACTTTTGCTGCTCAGGATCACTCCAGGACAAGTAAGGATTTAAATAACAATCGGAAAAAAAACCAAAAACCACAATAAAAAGTTTATCTTGAAAACAAAACTGAGACTAAAGTTACTTTTGGGCAACACAATGGATTGCTATTGAATCAAAATCACAATTAACAAATCGCAAACACTGTAATTATTTAAGTCCTTTTCAGCCCATAAAAGTGCAGAAAATGTTCAAATTCGCTCAATTATTATCATTTTTTTCGATTCTTGCGAAAAACAGTTATTTTTTCAGTAAAACAAGACAATTTTGTGCTGGCTCCATTCGTAAATCCGCTTAAAGAAAGTGAAAATACAGCAAGATTTTTCAACAAACTACTGAACGTAGACAGTAGTTTGACTATGTAGATATACAGTAGATCATAAATTCCATCACAATGTTGTAGTATTGTTGTACATTGTTGTAGTTGTATAGCACAGTTAATTCAGGGCAATACAAAAAAAGAAAAGAAACATTGAACACTTTTATTTAACCCATAAATCTGTTTTTGGAGTGAGACGTGGCCAGGAGCACTTTGGTATGACAATTATAGTAGAAAAATACATTACCATTAACACCAACACAACATCAATTTGATCAAAATAGTTTGGCTAAAAAGTTCCCTATATGTTTTGCAAGATAAACACAGAAAGACCCCAAAGCAGTACTGCAAAATAATATAATGTAATAATTGCCAAGGAAATGGAATCCAAAAGGAAAAACTGGAATCACTGGGACTAGATATGAAAAACAAAATGGACCGACAACAAGAGGAGCACAGGGTCTGAATACACAGAGGGAGACACAGGGGGTGGGCCAAACAATCAACTGGACAGACAGGAGGAAAAACAAGGTGAAAATACATCATCAAAAAGTCCACACCATGATAGCCTGGTCGTACCACACCAAAGTACAACGTATATTTCGTACTAAGGTCTGGAGGCGCTCCATTGAGCTCCGTTTACAGGTGGGAGGGGTTAACTCCTTTTGTAGATTGAAACGATCTGAGTTTACCGTGATGTATGTAATGCGCCCGAGTGAGTCGCCAGCATTTAGCATTTAGCCTAGCCATCTCCTTTGCCGCTAACGGAGCCCGTGGGGAGTAGCGCTACAATTTTTTCCAGTGATGACATTTGCTAAACATTCCTCTTGCTCCGGCTTCAATTTCTTTATAGAATTAGACCGGGATACTTTACTAACGCATTTTCACTATATTCAATCAATATCAATATTCACTATACACAAAGAAATGTACAATAACCATATCATTCAATACAAGGACAATCTCTCCTCTGCCAAATCCGCCTACTACTCCGGTTTAATTTACTCCAATCAACATAACTCTAAAACTCTCTTCTCTCTCCTCTCCAATATCACAAAACCCCCTGACTCTCTCCCACACCACATGCAATCCACTGACTTCTGTAACTCACTCATGTCTTTCTTTGTTTCCAAGATCTCCAATATCCATCAACACCTGTTCACATGTGGAGCTGCAGTTTCTGGAGTAGACTCCCCGGCCCCCCACTCATCTCTTACAACTACATTCTCCAGCTTCATCCTCCCCTCCGTTCAAGTCATTTCCGATTTCATCCTCAAATCCAAACCCTCAACCTGCCCGCTTGACCCCCTCCCTACAGCTCTTGTTAAATCCTGCCTTCCTTCACTTGCTCCCTTTATCACCAATATCATCCACTCATCTCTTATCTCTGGTACTGTCCCTTCTTCACTCAAATCCGCCACAGTCACACCAATCCTGAAAAAGCCCGGTTTGGACCCCACCAACTTTGATAACCTCCGTCCCATTTCAAACCTTCCCTTCGTCTCCAAAATACTCGAAAAATCTGTCGCCGCTCAACTCCATAACCATCTTATCACAAACAATATCTACGAGAAGTTTCAATCTGGCTTCCGTCCCCTTCACAGCACTGAAACAGCTCCTCTCAAAATCACTAACGACCTCCTCATAGCTTCTGACTCTGGTTTGCTCTCCATTCTTATCCTCCTTGACCTCACCGCAGCTTTTGACACCATTTCTCACTCCACTCTCCTTGACAGACTCTGTTCCATTGGCATAACTCACACCCCCCTTGCTTGGTTCACTTCCTATCTCTCTGGCCGCACACAGTTCATTCAACTCAAATCCCACAGGTCCAACACTTTCCCTGTCTCTGCTGGTGTGCCCCAGGGCTCTGTCCTGGGGCCCCTCCTCTTCATCATCTACATTCTCCCACTCGGTAACATCCTTCGTAAACACAACATTCATTTCCATTGCTACGCGGATGACACCCAGCTCTACCTTTCTACCAAACCCTCTTCATCTCTTCCTCCATCCTCCCTTGCCCTCTGTCTACAAGAAATTCATTCTTGGTTCTCTTCCAACTTTCTCAAACTGAACAGCTCTAAAACAGAAGTCCTTCTCGTAGGCACCCCCTCCACTCTCTCGAAATCAAACAGTTTTCCTATTCCCATCAACAACTCATCTGTCCTTCCCTCCTCTCAGGTTAAGAGTCTGGGTGTCATCCTCGATAGTACACTCTCCTTCCAGTCTCACATCAATAGCATCTCCCGGTCTGCATATTTCCACCTACGTAACATCTCCCGTCTCCGCTCCTCTCTCTCCCCCCACACCACTGCCATCCTCGTCCACAGCCTCGTTACCTCCCGCATTGATTACTGCAACTCACTTCTGTTCGGTCTTCCCAACAAATCCCTCCAGAAACTGCAGCTCCTTCAAAACGCTGCAGCACGAATCATCACACGGACCCCTACCTCTCACCACATCACCCCTGTCCTACAACAACTCCACTGGCTTCCCATAAAACATAGAATCAACTTCAAAATCCTCCTCATCACATTCAAAGCACTTCATAACCTGGCCCCTCCGTACATATCTGACCTCCTCCACATCGCAATTCCTGCCCGCGCACTCCGCTCCTCCTCCACTCTCAAACTCTCCGTTCCACCGGCCAAACTCGTCACCATGGGGCACAGAGCATTCAGTCGCTCTGCTCCCCAGCTCTGGAACTCTCTCCCCTCCGACCTCCGTAACATAGACTCCCTGCCACTCTTCAAATCCAGACTCAAAACTCACCTGTTCAGACAGTCCTATAACACCTAGTTATGCGCGCACCCTGTCAATATTGTACTCTGTTTTATTCTGTCGCTCTTGTTTTTATTGTTTTTAATGTGTCCATTGTACATTGTCCTTGGGTGTTCTGAAAGGCGCTTTCAAATAAAATGTATTATTATTATTATTATTATTTTTCGCCAATGCCAAACCACAACCTTCCCGTTCGACGCAAACTCTTGACGTCACCCACAACTTTAAATACAACACCCGCCTTCCTCGCTCGCTGATTGGTCGGTCGATATTCAAGCGATTGTAAGGCTTCAGGCTAACACCGTGACAATATGCAGCTCATTTATCAGTTACTCTTAGCCTGCCACTGAAACCTACATTTAAACTCCCTAAACTAGTTCTTCTGAAGTCATTTTTTTCACTGATGATCATATTTTTGCAGTGCAGCATTACAAGAATAAATCCAGCAGGGTGCGAGGGAGGGGGAGACTTTCAAAAGTACTCAGAGCTTCTTTGAGGTAACTCTAACCTCGAGCTGGAGTCCTTCGCTTTGATCACATGCTTTTTTTTCAGGTGCTCAAACAAAATGAATGTATGCAGAAGACATCGGCTCTCCCAGGATCCGTCCGTCAAAGTTCCCCCTTGTGCCCTTGGAAATAACTTTGTGTCACAATACAAAGCCATGAATATTACAGCACACTCTAATGAAAGTGTTGCCTCATGGAAGAACAACAGGGTTTCTCTCTGATACTGCTTTGTCTGACGGTTTGTCCCAGTGATGGCTGTGCGGCGCTTTGACGCTGCTCCCGACAAAAACATATCTTTGCTGCTAATTTTCCAAATGCCAGGTTCACGTCATGTCCCTAACAGTGCATATTAGAGACTGACAAATTATGAAGATTAAGAGATACTTAATTTGTCCCATGGTAATAACGTCAAAGCAAGTCAATGATTTTCGAAATGTCAACTCATTAAGTAATTCTTTCATTGTTTTTTTGAACCTCAATTTTCTATTTTCGTTCTATCTTATTCAAATTCAATATATTCACAATGAGAATGTATTTAGTGTTGGAGGCACATGCTGAGAAGAGGTTTTAAGACTCAGTTAGTTATATATTGACTGCAGAATGGAATTAAAAATGTGTTTATAGTATTTTTATTGATCTTTTCTCAAACAACCCAATGTGTAGCATCTCTATGGTTTGAGGTTTTGGTCAAATGTAACATACTTTTTTACCAACCTTTCAGGATCTGATTGATTATTTGAAAGAATAATCGGCCAACTATTAAAATTGAGATAACACTATAATATTGTAACCAGAAAAGCACTCGTAGACCTCTGCCCAGATACGAGGTTCCAATCTGGTCTTTCTGCGACCCTATGGACCAATGACTCCAGGGTGATAGTTTTGGTTTTGCATTTCCGGTGTTCTAATTGTTTGATTTTCAGATCTGTTTTTAGCGATTTGTAAAAATAAAAAGTCCTTTGAGATGCTCTTGTGATTTAGGGCTAGGGCTGAAATTGACTTCATTTAATAAAAAATAAAAAAAACTCCAGCAGCCAGATGGTCAGACAGGCTATGGATCCAGGGCTCGGGCTGTAAAAGATTCAGATCAGATTCAGATTCATTTATTTGCCGTTTGCAGTAAAACCACATAGGAAAAACTGTGCAAGACTACCCCGGTGTGCACCAGACAGAGAAGACGACACACACCAGAGCTCTTGCCAAGGACTGAGGATTGTGTTTTAAATCCAAAGAACACATGAGAAAAGACCAGCGTATGTTTTGGTAACACACAAACGTTTTATTGTTACTAATAAACTCCCTTCATAAGTGATCACACCCTTTATTACATCCCACTCTTCCACCAGCCTGTAAACTACCACATAGTTGCTCATATTTGGTTTCGGAGGTTATTTTACGGAGTGTGTCATTAAGGAATTCTTTGATTATTGCCCAATATTGACTCACCATCCCTGACCGTGACCACAGAGCGCTGCTGCTGCTGCTCAGCTACAACCCACAGAACACTGTCTTGAATACTTTCCATTTGAGGTGAGGAAAGAGCAGTGAGAGGATGGCAGTCAATGCGATTCGTTGTCCCGGAGCAATCAGCTGGCACACCTGGAAGGGCTTAGCTGTGTTTCCCTGAGGTTTTAAAGATGAAATGAAATGAAAGGCCTAAACAGGAAACATGCCGCTGCGCCAACACATCCTCAACACTTAACAAGCTCATGCTTCTTACTTAGCTTTAATAAGACCGTCTTAAAGCTGACACTCAGAGAGGCCGTGTGCAGAAAGAATAGAGCCGGATGTGGAAACTACTAGTACAGGTTAACTAAAGGTATGTTTGAGGATTGTTCCAAATTTTAGAAAAAGAACCCTCTCCACTTTTTTGAACAAAAGTCTCTGTTCTTATTTGACGATATCACATAATTGACAATTAGAAGGACCAATAGTCTTGAAGATCCACCCAGAAGTAGAAAATCCTCCTATATACCTTTAAAGTGGTTCTCACCCCCACTCCTCGGAGCTTACGCCACTCACATTTCCTGTTCAAATCTTCCTCTAAATGGGCGTAGCCTGGAGGACTAAAGGGGGCGTGAACGAGACTGGGCCGTTTACATTGCTCTGGGCGGGGGGCTGCTGACGTCAGGTCTTGCTTCAGACGTCAGGTCTTGCTGCCGCGCCAGTGTTGGCGCCAGATTCAAAATGCAACCTCATGCAAAAACCTCGTGTCTGTGATAATGTTTTTTTTTATAATATTCCATCTCTATGATGTTGATTGGTCTCATGTTTTGGTTTCTTTTGTTTCTTTTAAAATTCAATATATGAACTTACATAAATATAAATTAAAAGTGAATAGGAGAACCGCCCTTTTTGAACAAAACTCTCTGGTCTTATTTGACGAGCACGTATCACCAGAATGATTGACAATTAGGATAATTAGAATATTATTAGACGTCATCCTATACATCCTACAGTATAAATATACCTTTAAAATCATGGCTGGATGATATTATTCCAGTCTTTTTTACCTGGACCTCATGTCTGTAATAAAGTTTAATGTATATAATATTCCATCTCTTTTTTGGTTTCTTTTGTTTTAAAATTTAACATATTAACTTACAAAAATAGAAGGTAAGGGAATCTTTCATGAACATCAAAGCAAATACTACATATTTGCCCTACTTTATTTGCACATGGGCAGTGGCAAGCGCATAACTTATTCAACTTAAGTGCTTGACGTGTGCATAATTATGACATTAACGGTGAATGTAGAGCGGTAAAGTCACATGGCTCAAAAGAGTGAGAACTAGGAATCAATTTTCACTTTGATTCTCATAACATATTCATTCAAAAGTTAACGTTTGGATGGATCAAAATGTCTAATGTTTAAATAATGAAAACTAAAAGACCCAAAGTAAAACTCGACAAGGCCACGTCAGCTTAGAGCAGAACTCAACCACACCACGGCTTTCGCAAATATGGACAGAACAACCTCAAGATATGTTTAAATTGATACAAAATATGCAGGCTCATTTAAAAAAAAAAGGCAATTTACCACATTTGCCTATAGGTTTTTATAGTATGCAATGCAGATTTACAGCATCAGACATATTTTTGCTGGCAGGTAGCTCTCGTTTTCCGAGCTCTAATTACTACCCTGAAAGGTCAACTTTGTCGATGGCCAATCAAACCGCAATATCTCTTTCACCAGTTGGGAATCGTCTTTAAAGCTGTCATCTCCAGCCGACTGCGAACTCCAGAGTAATTTGGGTGGTGTATACCTTCTCCCTGCTTCTAAAAATACCCCCACCTTCTTTCATTGGCATGTTGACAAATGAGCGTGGGAACTTGCCTCAGAAAATCCAGTGTGTGTTTGGCTTTTGAGTTTTAATCTGGTTTAAAGCCCTCAGTCTGAAGTGTAGCTGGAGGAGGGTATTTGGAGAATTATAATCATGGAGCTAATGAGGCCAGAGCTCTCCGCTTTTTTGTGTGTGTGCTATCTGTATTGTTTTATAATGTGAAATAATGTAATGTTCTGTTTTGTGTGTGTACAGCCTCTCTGCTCAAAGGCCTGAAGCATTCCAACATCGTGCTGCTCCATGACATCATCCACACCAAGGAAACCCTCACGCTGGTCTTTGAATATGTGGTGAGTGGACTGTTATTGCCGATTGCTGCTCACCGCAATGACTGAATGAATGTGTGTGTGTGTGTGTGTGTGTGTGTGTGTTAGCGACATCAGTTAACCTACTGTGCAAAAAGAAAAGATATTCCCATACTGTACAGATTAGGTAGAACATATACAATACATACAGCAGGTGTCTCCAACCTTTTTTTTAACCCAGAGAGCTAGTTTTCTGGGATGATGAAGGAAGAGAGCTACTCCTTTTAAAAAGCCTTGGGGAAATAAAAGTGATATTTTGGTGTGAACAAGGCTGATATTGGGTACAGTCATTATTTATCATTGCATATTTGTTACTAGTGACAAAGTAAGTGTGCATTTACAATAATAAATAATGAAAATGAATAATACAATCTGAAATATTAAGTATATTATTTGATTTGTCAAGCTTTGGAGAGCTAGCTGGAAGGGGTGGCGAGCTACTGGTTGGAGACCCCTGGCATACAGTATATTGCATAGAAAATAAATCTGTATATAAAGCCATAATAATAATAATTTTAAGGCAATAGACCATTACAGCTACATTATATACCTACAGGTGAAACTCAATTCAATGCAACTTTATTACAGACTCAAATTCTAATTTAAAACAGGCGGACAAGACAGTAATCATCAAATAAAGAGTTCTGACTAAAAGACAGAAATCGATTTCAATGAAGTCTATTTACTTCTATAATTAAACTTACAATGTGATACGTATACATGATTATATGATAATTTTTGATTTGATATAATATATTTTGCCCACAGATTACAAAACCCCAAATATAGCATATCAGAAAATTTGCTGAATTAATCTGCACTGTTTATATTAAAACAAACAAAGGCTTATGGTACTTTTATGAATCTATATCCTATTGACACTATTGAAATACAGAAATAGATTAACTTTCAAACAATTTTCTGATTTTCCTGCAGATCTCACTTGTATTTATTTGGGTTTATTTAATAGGGACAAGTTGCCCTATGTCTGTTTGAAGTGTATATGCAAAACTTGTCAATACAAAAATGACTAAACAGATAAGTAAAACAGACATAGTTAGACTTCAGTTTCTTTTTCAGGATTTGTTTTTTTGTACTTTTATTCCTCAGTAATATAAACATCTTGCTTCAGTATAGTATCAACCAATTATTTGAATAAACGACAAACTAAAAGCCTACAGCTTGGGATTCTCCAGTTTCCAGTTCTCTCCTCCCTTTGCTGCCAGAGGAATCATTAGAGCCACTGGAGGCCGCTGATGAAAGCACTGGTAATTGTCAGCATTTGCATATACACGTTTAAACTCTGAAAATATGTTATTTCAAAAGATGGAGAAATCATGAAAAGTTAGCCTTGGAATACTTTATATGGAATTTTCCCCTAAAATGTCTCTCGTTGTTGAAGCTGGAGATCCTTTTTTTTGTCCCACATAATGAGAAATGCCAGTGTTGCATCAGCAGTTACAGAACAGAAGGTATGAGGAGCACAGAAGATAAATGAACAATAACTCTATACTAAGATAAAATAAATTAAAAACTCTTACTTTTGCATAATAAAGAAGCAAATCTAAAATCTCCAACTTTAGCATAATGAAGAGGCAAGAATTAAGTATAAGACCTTCGACTTTAGCGTAACAAGATAATAATAAAGAAGCAGGTACAAAATACTGTATATTCTAGTGCAAGAAATATATAGTTGTATGTATACATCTGTACATGTGAGGAGTGTGACGATATATCGATATGGTGATGTATCGTGATACTTTCTCACGTGATCGATTATCAATATGCTTTTGCCAAGTATCGATAAAAATAAAAAAAATGCATCTCCATTCCATTTATCATGAAATAAAATGTAGTTTTTCACTTAATATTTGTCTTTTATTTATACCATAAATAATCATAGGTATATTTCTGACCAATTTATCGATAATCGTCATATTGTGATATAATCGTGAGCTTTGTATCGTATTGTATTGTGAGGTACCCTGAGGTTCCCACTCCTATGACCAAGTGTGGCTCAGTCAGGTGAAAGTGGACACATGTGGTTTGATATTGCACATTCTGACATTAGTTCAAATGATTGCACAGATTACCACATGTGAGGTCAGGATCACACACACAAAACTCCTCTCCGTGTGTTGACCGTAGCATCTCCTGGACCATAGCAGGAGAAATGGACTATTGTGCAATGTTTTCAGTGTTAGTTTCATAAGCCCTGAGCCAAACCTGCACAGAAATATTTTGATTGGCCTTCTCCTTTTCATTGGCGCTCTCTCCATCCTGTTGTGAAATAAAACACAAGAGGCATTAGTTTCTTTCCATCGAGTGTTTGGTGCCATTGTAGAGCAGCCACGGCCAATACTGAAGGGCTGCCCACTGTGCCCAGAACTGAGCTGGAGACAGACGGGAAACTGGAAAGACAACGTTTTCACACGAGTCGCTATGACACATGCAGGAGACTGAAACACCTGTTACTGTAGTGCTGTGTTCTTTCTCAAGGGGAAAAAGTACAGGTTATGTACTTATGTATAGAATTCATGGTCCCATTGACAGTTGTGAGTAGATGAAGATAAATATTTACATAGATAATATTGTAGAAACAGGGTCATGAGATTTAAAGGACTTGTTTTCATACAGTAATAGGGCGGCATGATTTTGGAGAAATGTGTAATTTTACGATATTTCTGACCAACACTGTGATTTTACGGCGGTTTTTGAGATCATGCATGTTCAAAATGGTTTTTGTGTGGGTTTGGAATAAGAATAACAACTTCAAGGGAGTTACATTTGAAAAAGCGTACATACAAAAGCATTTACCTCATACACAATTTCAGATTTTATTTATCAAGTTCTGACCTAAAACAATTCTTCTTCAAAACAACATATTTCACTGGAAAAACACAAAACGAACACATCAACATTAGTAGTAGTATGCAACACATTTTGACAGTTTTGGAACTATCCATTGATGAATCTTGCAGATACATAATGCGTGTATATTTTTGTATATCCAATTGTAATGTAGACGTTTAGTTTTGTTTTGTTTATTTGAGGACAATGTGCAGTTACATTAAAAAGATGTCCACCAGATTTAGCACCATGCTACTTTCCATCTGTAGTCTTTGACAATACAATCATTAAATATACACATTAAGAGCATGTTAAGAGCATTAAGAACACTCTACTTACCGGAGTTAGACATATTTTTACTCCGGAAATATTTCCATGTAGAATGAAATCAATAATATATTTACCTACTCAAGACTATTCAGAGAACATCCATCACTTTCATTGTTGATCCGGTCATACATCCAGTGAAAGATAGTACACTACACATTCATTTGTTCTACATCTGGGGTATCCAAACTTGTTTAGTATGGAGCCCATTGGACCAGACTTGTCCAGGGGGCCGACAACATCAACAACAACTTATTTTTGTATAGCCCTAAATCACAACAGAAGTCATCCCAGAGGATTTAACAAAACCATTGAAATCACCAACACAGATCTGAGAATCAACAGTTAAGACACAAAATATAATAAAAATATACAGTATGTATTGGTCCATAGGAAGAGACCAATGTCCATGAATGTTGATAAATGTCATACATGTTGTAGAATGTTAAAGTGTCCTGGATCATCACAGTCCTTCTAGTTGGACACTAACTGTCCAACAGACCCTCCTGCATTTGCACGGGGAAAAACTCACAAAAACCCAGTGGGAATAAAAGTGAGAAATCCACATATTGAGAAAGGGATCCCCTCCTACACGGACGGTCAGGCTAATGATCCAGGACCTAAGCTACAGAATGAGGACCAATGCCACGCAGGCAGCGGCCGCAGAGCGTGGACAGGTCCGGTGTAGGACTGAAGCGCTCCCAGGCGGGTCGGGCAGGGCAGTCCGCTGGTGTAGATGGAGGAGGCCTGTTCAGAGGTCCCGTTGTCGCACCATGAAACAGACAATAGGACAATGGGTGAATAGCAATGAACACACTACAGTCAAAATCTTAATAGTGGCTGACAACATGGATTGTAAAACTGTTTTGACTGGTTTTAGACTGTTCTGGGCTCTGAAATGGGGTATCACATTGATTTGAATGAACCTTTGTGACACAATCAAACACACTGGCTTGTTTTTGATTTGAACATCTCTGTTCTACATCATGAAAAATGGCTAGTTGTAAGATTCATAGTTTTTGCACGTTTGCCTTCATCTGTGTGCTTTTAAACTTTGTGTCAACATTTCTAAACCCATAAAGCCATTTCCCCCCTCCTGGTGTGAGCGATGCGCTTCCTCATCTCAGACTTCATGTGAGCTTTCTTTGATGGTCACTTTATATTCAGGTCAAGTGTGGGTCTCAAAACGCTGATCGAGGCCAAATTCTGATCTGGAACGCTCTGACTCAGCTCTCCATCTGTAATGAGCGGGTCTGGTTTAGCTTTTAGTTTGTGAGGATGTGGTCAAACACGGTGGACATGAAGACATCATAGTGGTATCAAACTATGGATAAATGGAAAAAGCATTAATTCAAGTATTTACAGTTTAGGCGCAAATCGACCAAAGTGCTACATGAGTCCCGAGTCCTGAATCCAGGACACTTTTAAACAGCAACCCGGCTTCCCACAAACATTTTCCTACATTTTTATGATCTATTCACGTTTGTTATTGATTACAGTCCACAGTTGTGAAGTTTCAGGATAGACCTTTTTTTCTATTCCACATATTTCACAAATTTGGGGAAAAAGTTTGGCTAAAAGGTTTCTTAGCAACTTTCAACTACTCAAATTCTGTTATAGAATGTTACATAAAACTAAGATATTTCTAAACTGTGTTGCACTAGAGTTTTATTCTAGATGTAGGGGACATTTTATGTAAAAGGTGGATCCCTGAAGTTTTGTAAGAAATAGAGGAGAGGATTATTAATCAATAATCACAAGAAATAGTAGATAAAGAGGTAAGACAAGGTAAGAAAAAGAGGAAAGACTGATCTAGGGAATCATTTGTGGGAAGTCGGATTAAGGAGCTCATGTATTTCTGCTTTGGTGGCAAAAGGGTTAATTCTATTTCCTTTCTACTTACTACTAGTTCACACTTTGGATATTTGAATGCAAATATCTCAGGAGCTGAACAGAGAACTCAGACTAACATGTCTTTGTGACGATGCTGCTGAACCTCTTTTTTCTCAAGGTCAAAAAGTTGTTGGTGGAAAAATGAGTGACCAATCTTCCACAGCTTCCAGTTCCTCACTATTTCGAAAAGGGTTCTTAATGGGGTCACAGTGGCTGAGTAGTTAACATCCATGCCTCGCAGCAAGTTTGCTGGTTCGATCCCTGAACCGGACTGAGCTTTCGTGTGTGGTGTTTGTTCAAAGTCAGATAAAATAGCGGATAGCCAGTAAAGCACGCAACACAACCACTATTTATCTTTAGTCTGATCTGTGGCCGTCTTAACGTCAACCCAGGAAGCCCAAGTGTGAAATAAATTTGTATAAAATCCTCTATATGGGGACAATAAAACCTATACCTCACACAGACTTCTGCCGGTTGTTTTCCTGATTAGCTTTCCAGATAAAACTTATGCAAATGTGTTTAGAAGCCGTCGGTGCGTGGAGCCATCATCTTGTGAGGATCTCATTCAAAACGGTTGTCAACTGGAACAATCAGCTCTTTGTTTCCCTATTCCCCTAATCATGAGTGACAGCCAGTTGGTCTACGGGGAAATGCACTAAAACGTATTACTGCAGTAGCAACAGAAGCCGTAAAAACCAATGGCATAGCAATATAGGGAGAGGGTTAGATTAGGATGGACAGGCACAGCTATGTTGCCTCATGACTTTGAATTATTCAGCAGATAGGAGCCGGCAGAGGGACATTGTAAATATCATTGTATTTTCAGATCAGTCTCCCATCTTGAGTCCGCTCACAAACTGGAGGTGAAGGGCAGTGGAGGGAGAACTGAATTCGCGAGATTAGTCTGGGCACGCAGCTTCAGGCCAAGACAAGTTTCCATTTCATACCAATATGGACAGAAATATCTCACCTCACAACTCGCAACATTTGCCAAAATACCCCCAAAGACTTCAGAACAGATCGGCTATGAATAATAATGCAACTGGTACGTTTTTAGAAAGCACAGTTACAGAGGAGTTAGGCTGCAGTCCTGGGAGATGTCTGCAAAGGTGATTTTAAACATTTATGAATATTGTGTTTTTTGTTATCAATTTTAAATGTCAGGACAACAAACAACTCAAAATGCCGTTGTACAATTGGTATAATTGGAGGCATGGAGACCTCCAATCAGCAGCTGCCACGGTGCCATGTAGCTTGGCCTTCAGATAGACAAAACAAGGGAAAAGTACTGGCTTCTGCACATTGATAGAATGATGAGTTTAACTTTAACAAAAGTTGCTTGAAAGTGTTATGAAATCTCACATTCCCCCCTCTGGTCACACATTCACGTGTGACCATCAGGATCGATAAACAGCAACATAACATCATAACTCAATACTTCAAAACTCATAAACTCTGTACTTCACTCGGTACTTCAAAAAACTCAGAACTCGGAATACTTCAAAAACTCATAAAACATGTTCAGATCTTTCATAAAACTTGTCAACAATCTTCAGTAAAATACCAAACTTCATCAGTCGATGGTGGTTCCAGATATTGCTTTGAAAACAGTCTCTCCCACTTCTCCGTGTTGGTTTCTTCAGGCTGCATTTGTCGTGTCGAGCCATGAATTCTTCTGTGACGTGTTATTTCAATCATACGTTTCAGCTTTAGTGTCCAGATTCAGAAATCCAATTCAGTCCAAATCATGTCCAAATTCAGAAATCCAGATTGTTCCAAATTATGTCCAAATTGTGTAACCCAATTGTTCCAAATTATGTTCATGCAATAGAGGACGGTGATATTGTCCATGTCTCAGCAGCTCACAGCCTGACTGGAGTCAGGGGCTGTGCAGATTGTCCAAGTGTGCTGGTCCAGATGCATGGGTTCTCTTGAGGTTTCTCAGTTTTGGCTTGAAAAAAAAAAACACTTTTTGTGTAAAAAAAAAAGTAGTCTTCTGTTCACTAGATGTTACAGACAATGCCCGCATCCTTCCACCACCTGAAGAAGATGACATGTCTGGGATCGCGTCTTTCATTCAGACAGAAGACATGTTTTATTGTCAATGGTAGAGACAGCACGAACAACACGAACACAGATACAACAGAATGCAAGTGTATTATACAGAGCGGAGGCATGGAGACCTCCAATCAGCAGCTGCCACGGTGCCATGTAGCTTGGCCTTCAGATAGACAAAACAAGGGAAAAGTACTGGCTTCTGCACATTGATAGAATGATGAGTTTAACTTTAACAAAAGTTGCTTCAAAGTGTTATGAAATCTCACAAGCGCTTTGTGTGACCTTGGTCTGTAAAAAATGTGCTTTATAATTCCTTACTTACTTGACTCACTACGTTTTTCATCAATACATGTTGATGGTAGCCTCCTTGGCATTGTGCTCTTGCTGTGGACTGTTCCAAATACTTAATGTCCATAAAAGTAATATGCCCACTATCAAATAGACAGTGAGTGAGGGGGCTCCCACCTTGGGGCAACCATATTTTTTCCCACGGGAACCCCCTGAGCCGAGAAAAGTCAACAGAATGCATTAAAGAAAATATTAATATTGTTTTAATGCTGGCATACATAACTTTTTAGGTCATTCTGTTTACTGCCTTACTGTTTACTCATATTCTCACAGCCTGCTTCATCAATGCAAAGCAAATTTGCTTTTTTTTTTTTTTTTTTTTCTATAAAAAAAAAAAAAAAAAAAAAAAAAATTAAGTTTATTAACATAAACATTATAGTTTTTAAGCGACTGTATATCAGCCCTCACCAGAAAATCTAATTCATGTTTTACTGATAAAACATGAATAAAAATCTGACACATTAATTACACTTTAGACAATGCAAGAATAGCACAGGCCAATTATAGAGAAAGGCGTGAAGTCCGGTGTGAAGCAACACATACGGTGCTGGAAAACAAGACACCTTAACAAATAAACACAGCATTATGTGATCCCTTCATTCTAACATTGAACCAAAACTAAAAATATAACTTTATGACTTTTTATGCATCTGTCCCCGTTATCATTAAAACCATATTATTACTTTGCAACACAAGTACTGGAGAGTGAGAACCAAACATGGAGAGGCAGCATTTCAGATTCATGCATCTAAAATCTGGCATAGTCCTCCTGAAAATGTAAGGCAGGCTTCTTCTCTGATGTTGATTAAATCTAGGTTTAAAACTCCTTTTAATGTACTGGCATATTTTATAGTTTCTATCTTGTTTTGTTCTGCACTTTGAGTTTCTGTACGACATTGCCTTGTGCAGGAATTTTGCTTTACAATTAAACTTGCCTTTCCATCTCTACGACAGTTCAAGGTGTGGTTCCAATCTTCACTCCACTTTGGACCAGGACAATAATCTACTTAAAAGACAAACTTGGCCCAAATCTGGACACAAGAGTAAACATGCCCTTAGTCTTTATTACCGCCTGTAGATCTTGGCAAACATGGTCCGCCCTCTGTGATAAATCTTAATGCTCGTACACTGACTAAAGACACGCTCCATTATAGCAGCGGCCGCTCAGACAGACATCAAACATTTGTCTTCACTTTCTCTAAACCTCCACAAATCCTGGAACTATCTTAGGCTCTTGTTTTATCATTAATGTTTGCTCGCTGTTTTCGTAGTAATATATTTCACTACTTTTCTCCGCATTGATTTCCATTATTATTTAGAGTAAAGTTTCAGCACTGACCATGTATCAACGTAATAGATTGTTCTTTTTTATATACAACCACATTCTTCTCACCAGGAAAGCATGACAGTATTTTTTGTTCCGTAAATCTAATGTATAATTCAAAGATTGTATTTTCACATGATTGATGTCGGTGTGTTTGTTCCTACAGCACACAGACCTGTGTCAGTACATGGACAAGCACCCAGGAGGCCTGCACCCCGACAACGTCAAGGTGAGAAGACTACTCAAGTCCACAGACACTCATCTTTTTGTATCTGTTGCTATTTTGAACAAAAAGAAGGAATGGAAAATAATTAGATTTCACTGTATTATTGATTTGGCAATTGAAACACAAGGAATTTGGTATTTTCTATATTATTCATTATTTATCGGTATAGGTACTGTATGTCTGTATATCTCACCACATGTGAGAATTCTTTACTGGTTATTTAATTTGGATTGAAAATATTCATGTAAAATGTATAATTACAGTTAATAAGAAGCATAGTTTCAATATAAACTTTATTTTATTTTCAATTAAAACTTGACATTTTGCCATGCTCGGACATCCATAAGTAAGAATGGCCAAGTCAAACCCCAGACCTAAATCCAATTGAGAATCAGTGGAAAGATCTGAAAACTGGACTCACCATCTTATCTTACTGATCTTGAGCTGTTTTACAAAGAAGAATGGTAACAACTTCCAATCTCTAGATTTGTAAAGCTGGTAGAGACAAACTCCAACAGACTTTCAGCTAAAGCAGATTCTGAAAAGTATTGACTCAAATACTATTATAAAGTTCAAATTTACGCGGAATTTTACAAGACTTTGGGACATTTTATGAAACCGCTGCCAAACATCCATCTGAAATGTTGAAATATTATATAAAGCTATAGACCTGAGGAAGATCACATTTGTGTGATTGTGTGTTCAATTTGCACTTAAGACATTTTCTGCCTCAGATCAGAATAGCTGTACAGAAATAGTGATTATCTGAGATATTTTGCAGAAGATTTTGCATCTGTATTACTTGTTACATATTGAGACCGAACACAATTATTTCCCCACACCAATGAAAACAAACCAGAACCTTGCATTATTAGCATGTGTGATATTGCTTCAAATATGTCTTTCTTGTATTGAGAAGCTATACATTCAAATAGCAAAACTAATGGTTGTTGCTCTGTAAATACGCCATTACTATGCATGTGCAGTAGAGCAATTTATGAAACAGGTTTGGTTTGAGGGAGTTTTGACTTGGACGCATAAATACATCACAATTAGGTCTTCAAAAGTCTGAGATACAACCTTTTGTGAATTTATTATCAAACATTATGAACAAACTTTACCTTAACTTTGTCCATATATATCGCACATGGCTTATACCAGAGTCTCCAAGCAGGGTACACGGACCCCTAGAGGTACGCATGGGTATTACATGGGTTACTTGAACACGGAAAGTAAGTTGTTCATATGGACTACTACTACTACTATGTTATTCATCATTTTAAAGGTTTTAGTTATCTCAAGAAAACAATCACACCAATTATTTATTCTAAACCTAGAGCACAATTCATTATCGTAAAATCAATCAACCTTTTTATTCTTTAAGGTCACACAAAAGTCCTTCATAGCCCCTGTCCCATAATGCATAAATCATAAACATTAAAAACAACCATTAAGATCACACAGAATATTAAAAACATAAATTAATATCTTCTAGGGCATTTATTATTGGTCTATCAGTGTGTAAGATTAGATAAATGGTGCAGACCTTGGTATAACGGTAAAGCCTAAAACAGTGACCTCCCTGGACCGGAATGAGTTTGACCCCTGAGCTACATGGAACACTTGTCTCCCTAGCAACAGGAGGTACTCGTGCCCTATCTATGCTGGCGAGGGGAGGGCGAGGGGGTTGCCAAAAAATGTTTGGGAACCACTGGCTTTTACCACTATCGGCATGATACAGCAGAGTTTTACATCATTGCTTCATGTTTTTTGCTGCAGAGTCTTAAGTTGGTGATCAGGTAGTGGTGATGGAGTGAATGAGGCCACAAAGCCGCTGGTGGGGGGGCACCGGGAGGGGTCTGTGAGGGCGGACGCTGCATTGAGAGCAGAGGTGACAGCTCAGGATGCATCTCTTATGTAACAGCCTCATACCTCTCCCCTGCACAGGATTTACATAAGTTACACATGGTTCTCCCTTTGCGCTGAGCCTGATGTGAATAATTTGGGATTAATGTTGAGCTTGTTGAGTGAGATGTTGCGTGGATCCTGCTGACTTACTCGCCTTGAGCTTAGACTCCAGGGCTGTGAAGTCTGTGGCGCGTCACCGAAATATGCGGTTATAAAGTTCTCATCTTTTCAATAGTGTCAAAGGATTCAAGTTTGTTGTTTGGAATACCCCAGTCTATCTTTGTGCGAAACTATTCAAGCCAATCCAACTTCACAACTCTGTTTCTTCTTTTTCTCATGGTTTGGACTTTCTGTTAATTTATCTGTTTTTATTTTGACATAGAACCATTAATGTTGAGATTAAAATAAAACAAAATAAAGTAAATAGAATGTGGCTTGAAGGTGCAACATTGGCCCTCAGTTGGTAAAGCATTAGGCCTCTGAGCCTGAAGGTCGTGGGTTCTAACCATGGATCTATTATAGAATCTGGATAGGGTTAATACTAGCTTGGAGCTGAAGGACTCATGCGCTCGGGGGATTCTCGCAGTACTGCAGACGAAGTAAGACTAAATTCACGTGGGCCACCCAGAAGTTTCCGTCATAGATCTCAATGTAAACAAAAACAGCTGGACCTCTTTTCATTAAGATTGGATTTGGTGGGGATTTTAGTGTCCCTTGTCATCGTCAACTTTTTTCTTGTTAAATCCTTCGGTTTTCTATAAATCCACACTTTAGTGCCACAAACTCTGCTTGTTTTCTTCCCGCTCTAGCTCCGCTCTGATCAGCAGCCTTTGATAGGTCAGGACGCGCTGTGCCCTTCTGTGCACGTGCATGAGAGCCACACATGCGTATTTGGCGCAAAGCATCATGGGATCTTGTCCAATGCGCAGATCTGGGAGGACCAGAGAAATGACCAAATATGGGCGAGTTCCGCCAATCTTTCGGTGTCCATTTGAATAGGGCTTGGTTCAAACCCTAACCCATTGAAAGATCAAGACACAGACAAAGCAGCCGGAGCAGCCATCCTCCTGTGCACCCACCACCTGCAGGAGGATAAGTGAGGGGATAGTGCTCTGTGAATTTCGTGTAGCTCTGACGGCCACCCCCCAACCCAGAAATGGATTAAGGGGAAGAACATGGATGGATATGGATACAGTATATGTGGCTGTATAAGTGTCTTTTTTTTGCATTAGATCAAATGAGCAGCAAACATTTCTGCTCTGCATATAATAAAAATCTCCCTAACCGTGAAAATGTAGGTGCTTTCAAAGGTTGCCTGAAATGCTTGTACATCTCCATAAAGAATCATATCCAACACACCATATAATCAAGCTCCAGTCACTTAGAATTGTGTTTTACTCCATAATAAATGCAAGCACAGTGCACAGTTTACAAGCCTCATTTGCATTCTCGCTTTAATTACATTATGCCTCCATATGCAGCCACTGATCTGAAGAGAGATCCAGAGGAGATGTATACTGAGTGAACACAAACAGAGGTGTAATATAATGTTAGCGATACACAGGTTTAATGCTCTGGCAGCTGGCACCCGCAGTAATGGCTTTAGAGACTCGGAAATGAGCTTATCTTCATGATTTAAGTTTATTTAGCTGTTTGTGAGACTCAACACTTTCAATGTTTATGTTATTCAATGTGGTTTATGGCCAGCTGTGGAAGTCGAAGATTGATGCAGCTTAAAGAAGCAGGAAAGTTGTACGCAAAACTTGGGAGAGGTAGTTGATAATTTTATATGCAGAACTTTGGTTTAAGTATGGGTCTAGCAGTGGCTCCTAAAGTAAGATTTATCATCACATTAAATTCTACTATTTTTCATGAGTTCAGAAATAATAAAGTCTGTGAAACCTGCAACCTACACAACCAACCATTTAGGAGGCCACTGTTGTCAGGTTCTTCTCTGACAGGAGCCAGAGTAGGAGGCTGATGTCTCCTAATACTGTTTGTGATGGAGTGTGTGGGTGTTCTGGCCCCAAGTCTTTCTCCAAATATTAATTAGCTTCATAAAAGCTATTAGTGCCTCCTCCAGTGCTCGATCGGATTAAGATTTAGGGACACACTCAACCCATCAGTGCTAATGTCATTACTAGACTTGGACATGGAGTTGCACATGATTTTGGGTCATTCTAAGAAACCGCCGCCAATTTGCCATCAGTAATGTTCAAATATTTACAGTATGCCTGTAGTATAGAGCTATAGACTTGAGAATGAAGTGTGTGTGGTCATGTTTGAAACTAAAAGCCCCGCAATTACTAGACAAAAAATGTACTCATGTCATTAGAGTTTCATTTGATTTGAACATAGGGTGTGCCCAAAAGCTAAGGGAATGTCCTCTGCAATCTGTTGAGGAATGTCTTTTTGTACATTTTAATATTACAAGAGAATTGTTGATGTGTGTTTAACATATTTATTACATTTTATATTCTACAAAAAAATACATGTAGAGAAACATACAAATAGAAAAACCCCACCCCCAAAAGAAAACGCACAAAATGGGATCAATTAAACAAAAGTCCACAAATTGCATTACAGAAGAAAGTTAAACTTGTCAAAACAAATCTGCAACTGTACAGATTTTAAAACAATAAAGCGTTTTTGTGTCACTTCTCAAAATGTTGGACAGACACAAAAGGATTTTTACTGTATTATGTCATGAGTACTTCAGCTCAGCCTTAAATCACAAACACTACAACAGTAGACATGATAGTGACAGCTTTTGTTTGTAAATGAAGCAGGAGTTAACTGAAAAGTTAAAATCATTAGTTGATTATGTACAATATCTGCTTCTCTACCCTGTATGCTAACATGTTTTACCATTGTAAGCTGTTTTGGAGCATGAGCTCATGGTGTGCTGCTGCTGAAGTGCTCTGTGATTGGATTAAATGGAGTCGACTGAAGGCCCATGCCGCTCTGACATCTCCATAAATCAATAGAAAACTGACACCCACAGCAAACTGCTCCACCAGCCCTGGAACAGCAGGTTTATGTTGGTTTAATGTCATTACAGGGAAGTCGCTGATGGCACTGGGGGCTTCATGTCA